GCAACGGCTCCAGGAGGCCCTGGGCATGCATGAGAACAAGTACCTCATCCTGCCAGGTGAGAGTCTGGGTGTGCATCCTGATCAGTCCTGCTCTCTGTGCGAGGGAGTGACTTAGACTCAGGTGACCCGGGTTTCTCACTTTTAGTTGACCATTTCTCACCAGAGGTCTAGTTCACCAAAGGGCTTCAGTTTTCATCAGGGACAGGTGGGGGATTTGCATTCTTGCCCGCCCTCAGCTCAGTAGGAGACTCTTGTGGCTGGAATAGTGCCTGAAACTCTTCTGCATCTGCTGCTCACCAGTGCACTCCAATATCCCCATGATGGACCAGAAGGCCATATTCCAGCAGCCTCCACTTGGTGTGCGCAAGATTGTGCTGGCCACCAACATTGCCGAGACTTCCATCACAGTTAACGACATCGTGCACGTCGTAGACAGCGGTCTGCACAAGGAGGAACGCTATGACCTCAAGACCAAGGTGGCGCCTCTCTTGGGCCCATTGGGGAACTGACTCCAGTTCTGAGGTTGCCCCTAGTCCCGATCTGTTGTCGACATCCTTTCTGTGTGAAGGCCAAACTTAGGAGAAATGTCCCTGGTGAGGGGTGACGAGGGTGACTGGAGAAGGGTAGATAAGGCCTGTAGAATGTGTAGGTTTCCTGCCTTCCCCCAGGTATCCTGCCTGGAGACCGTGTGGGTATCGAGAGCAAATGTGATTCAGCGCCGGGGCAGGGCAGGCCGCTGCCAGTCAGGTTTTGCCTACCACTTGTTCCCGAGGAGCAGGCTGGAGAAAATGGTTCCTTTCCAAGTGCCAGAGATCCTGCGTACGCCTCTCGAGAACCTGGTGCTGCAAGCCAAGATCCACATGCCTGAGAAGACGGTGCGGCAGAGGCAGGGCTGGGAGGGCTGGCTCCTGGACAAGGCGGGTGGGACACCGGCTCATGGGGCGTGGCTCTTGTTGCTTTAGGCAGTGGAGTTCCTCTCCAAGGCTGTGGACAGTCCGAATATCAAGGCAGTGGATGAGGCCGTGATACTGCTCCAGGAGATTGGTGAATGAAGGCTGGGAGTGGTCGGGCTGTGGGATGGCTCATGGGTGGGACTGACAGCTGAGCTGTTGCAGGGGTGCTGGACCAGCGGGAATACCTGACCACCTTGGGGCAGCGCCTGGCCCACATCTCTACTGACCCCCGACTGGCCAAGGCCATAGTGTTGGCTGCCATCTTCCGCTGCCTGCACCCACTGCTGGTGGTTGTTTCCTGCCTTACCCGGGACCCCTTCAGCAGCAGTTTGCAGAATCGGGCAGAGGTGGACAAGGTTAGACCCAGTGCTTCCTGTAGCTCTCTTGCTCTTTGTCTATTCGTACCTCACCCATTGTCCTGAGGTGGACTCCAGTCACCCTCCTGACCCCTGTGCATTCTTCTCTCCCAGGTGAAAGCTTTGCTGAGCCATGACAGTGGCAGTGACCATTTGGCCTTCGTTCGGGCTGTGGCTGGCTGGGAGGAGGTGCTGCGCTGGCAGGACCGCACCTCCCGGGAGAACTACCTGGAAGAAAACCTTCTGTACGCCCCCAGCTTGCGCTTCATCCACGGTCAGCCTGACCCCCAAGAGTGTGTCCTGAGCACCTCCTGCCCACAGAGCTCCCATCTGAGGCAGGGTCTGTTCACACTATGCTTTGCCTCCCTAGGGCTCATCAAGCAGTTCTCAGAGAATATTTATGAGGCTTTCCTAGTGGGAAAGCCTTCTGACTGCACGCTGCCCTCTGCTCAGTGCAATGAGTACAGCGAGGAAGAGGAGCTGGTGAAGGGTGTGCTGATGGCTGGCCTCTACCCCAACCTCATCCAGGTGCTTCCTCTAGGCCTGGGAGCTCACCAGGTCCCCACCTGTCTCTACCCTTAGCTCTTTGCTCATCTTTTCCCCTGTCCCTTTAGGTGAGGCAAGGCAAGGTCACTCGGCAGGGCAAGTTCAAGCCCAACAGTGTCACTTACAGGACCAAATCTGGCAACATCTTGCTGCACAAGTCGACCATTAACAGGTGGGTGGCAGTCAGGGTTAGCTACAAAGGGCCCCAGAGAATGCCAGAGGTGTAGCTTCACACAGCACCTTGTTCCCTAGGGAGGCTACCCGGTTACGGAGCCGATGGCTGACATATTTCATGGCTGTCAAGTCCAACGGTAGCGTGTTTGTTCGAGACTCCTCCCAGGTGCACCCACTAGCTGTGTTGCTCTTAACAGATGGGGACGTCCACATCCGAGGTGGGTACCGCTCACTCCGCCCCCCCAAGGGCTACTCGTGACCCCCCAAGAGGCCTGGCCCAACATATACTGCCCCGTCCGTCCTTGCTCTTTCCAGATGATGGGCGCCGGGCCACCATCTCCCTGAGTGACAGTGACCTGCTGCGGCTGGAAGGGGACTCACGAACTGTACGGTTGCTAAGGGAGCTGCGGCGAGCCCTAGGCCGAATGGTAGAGCGGAGCCTCCGCAGTGAGCTAGCTGCACTTCCACTAAGCGTGCAGCAGGAACACGGGCAGCTGCTTGCACTGCTGGCAGAGCTGCTGCGAGGACCTTGTGGCAGCTTTGACGTGCGCAAGACAGCCGATGACTGAGCCCCTCTTCGCTGGGGCTGTGTACAGAGTGCAAATGTTTATTTAAAATAAAGTTATATTTATCCCTTGTGAGTGCCGATGTCCTCCCCAAGGGCTCCTCTCGGGGATCTGGGTTCTTGGCCCCAAATCAGGGGGAATGGACAGATGCTTCACTGTTGTGGCCCAAGTCCCATGAATAAGCCACCAGATTTGTCAACACATTGTTTGGCCAGCCCACAGCACAGGGCCTGTTACATGTAACAAGGATCCATGTGAGTCCTGCCAGGGACACTGGGCATTTCTCACAGGTAAGGGAGGGGCTGAAGGCATCAAGCCAATGTGCGCTACTGGGTACAAGGGGTCTAGGTATGGGGACCACATTTGACAGAAGCAACTCAGCCTACATAGCGGGATGTCAGGCAGCTTTATTGGTTAAATCAGTACAACGACTACAGACACAGGTAATGGCTAAGCCATGAGCAAACTGGAAAGTACAGAAAGATCTTATCCCAAACGTTTCAAAGTCTACACATTGTACGGCCTGTGGTCCCAGTCTACTAGACCAGCCTTCTCTGCTTCTCTCGGGCTGGTGGGACCCGTCCAGGGACCTGCCTAGAGAGCTTGGGCCACCTTCCTTTCTCTTGGCAGGTGGACCTGTTTCTCGTCAATCTCAGCATCCTCAAGGCCCCAGGATCAACATCAAGGAGGGTAGCAAGTACCTTTATGCCCTTAGCCATCACCACCCTGGTCCCGGACCGCTGCATCCATCCCAGCTCCATCTTGCCCCTTCTTGGTGCAAAATACAATGAAGGCTCCAAGAAGAGTTCTACAGATGGCTCAGGCAGTCCTTTTTCTAGAGGCCACAGCAATTCTTGTGTGTGTGCAAAGAGCCAGGGATTAGGTATCGAGATTTTCTGAAAAGAGACTGCTGCCTCAGAAACGGAGAGGACCTTCAGCCCAGGGATGCCCTCCCTTGGCACAGAGATAGTGAAGACCTTTTCCTGCTCAAGCTACACTGAAGCAGAGGTGGAGGCTGTGTCGGGGAGGGAACAGGGGGTCAGGTGTGGGTCAGCCTCCTGAGAGGCAAATCTGCCCAGCAGAAGACACCCCCCCCCCCCAGAGGAGCCCTGAAACACTCCCAGGCCACTTCACTACAAACTTAGGTTTGAACCCTTTATTAGAAACCATGCAAACTTTAATACAAAAAAAAAATACAAGTGCAATAAGAATCTTGTGTTGATACAATTCCTGGGATTTTCTCAACACTGCAGCCATCCCACCCATAAACAGACCATGCTGGGATGGCTGCATCACCATGGCTGGCCTCTCCTGCTCTTTCTTTCCAGTCATACCGGAAGAAAAGTGGGATGGCCCCAGTCTCATGCATCTTAGTTTCAAATTTCCACACCTGATTCCCCACTGTTCAACATACGTTCTGGACATCTCAGGCTCCCCCAGTCATGAGGGTTCAAGTACCATGTCCTACAGGTGCAGGCCAGGGATTTTGACCTCCACTTCTATTTCTCCAGCCCTGGTTTTTTGTATCACACATCGACGACCAAAACCAGCCTCTTGGTTAGAAAAGCAGCATACACACAATACCAACACAGCCAGTCCCACTGACCCACCCTAGCTGTCCCACTGTTCACTTGGCAGTAGCCCCACTTCTTACTTCCCTTCCCACAGGGTCCCAAACTGCCCGGAGTAGGGCAGCCCCTAATGCCTGCAAGCCTCCTCAGTGGAGACTCAGGATCTCCTTCCCCGCTTCCTCCACTACCTACTGAGAACTCTCATTTAGACATGGCTTCAACCTGCAAACTACACCACCAGTTCATAGGTTATTAGGAGGGGGGAAAAAGAATAACACAAAAGAAAAAGTGAGACAGCAGCTAATCAGGTAGAGTAAGCAGTGGGGCAAGTACTGACCCCTAGCTAACTTGAGGCGGGGGCAGCAGAAGGGCCTGGTGCCACCTGCACGGTGGCCTGCACTGTGTCATCAAGGAGAGGCAGTGGTTTGTTAGGCTCCAGGGGATTCGGTCAGTGCTGGTCACCACCTGGAGTTCACCTCTGCTAGTCCCTCCAGGCTGAACCAGGGAAGAGAGGGAGTGTTTTGTCAGTTTCTTTCCAGTTTGGTCCAAAAAAACCAAACCGTGGAGGCTAGAATCCAGCTCCCTGCCCCTAGATCCCACAGAGATCCCCTTAGACTCCCACCCCTCCCACATTATCTACGGAGCAGTGGTGCAGAGGTGGGTCCAGAAGGAGGTGTGAAGGCAGCGGAGCTGCTGCGGCTGCCTTGAGCGAGCGAGGCGAGCGGGAAGAAGGCCTAAAGGGGCTGCCCGGCGCCCAAGGGCTTACAAGTCTAGTAGACAGCCCGGGAATAGGAGCCCAGGGGCCGGGGCCCCCAACTTGGGCCACCAGGGAAGTGGGGAGGCCGGGAGACAATGTCGGCCCCATGGTCGGTGCGAGCCCTGGCATTTGCCCGGAACGTCAGCCTGTAGGTCTCAATCTGCAGTGACACGTGAGGAGGGATGGGAGAGGGCAACATGGGGGAGGGGGAGACAAGAGAGGGAACACAGGGGAGATGGAAGACGAGACCAGAATGTCATCATTAGATGCCTGGAAGATAAAAGGTTACTTTGTTAAAATTTAGGTCACACTCCAGTCATAAAACAAAGGAGTTTCAATTTTCAGCCAGTGACAGGGCCCCTGGCTGGCCCTTAGACCGAGCCCAGCCACTTACTTGTCTCCTGGATCTGGCTGTCCAAAGTCTGGGGCTCCCTTTGGTCACCACCCCCTGACAGGGTGGTGTGGCCACTGAGGCCACTGGCTGAAGTAGGGGCACCAGCGTCAGGCGCAGCCTCAGGGATGGCTGGCTCCTCCCCAGCGGGGGGGCCTGGACACGGAGGGGCCTCACTGCCACCGCCCTCAGTCTACAATGAAACAGTGGGGAGACAGTGATGGGTCAGTTGGGGAGGGAATGAGATGGGGTGATGGTGGTGATTTCATACATAGACTTCCTGGCCCACACACCCCGGCAACCACCAGCTCTACACAGATGTCCACCTCTAATTTCTCCAACACTAACTCTCCAGCCTGGAGCTGGCTGAGCTAATGCCCTCTTGGGAGTCTCTTTATGGAACTTTGTGACTCTAAAGTTGATACCAAATAAAAAAATGGCTCTAACAACAACAGACAGCAGTAACCCTGAAGAGCACACATCAGTGGTTTATGCCTAGCTGGGAAGCAGGGTTGGCCCAGTACTTAGAGAGGGCCCTTGGTAACTAAGTAGGCAGCACCCTGCCTGCTTCTCTGTGTGGTAAGATCCCCTCACGACAGAGCACTTTTTATGCTGGGCATTGTCCTAGCATCCATGGACACAGAGGAAGCAGAAAAAGGTATTCAAAGAGGTGTGTTCCAGAAGCGTTTCAGGGGCTTGTGGAGGACAACACTGGATATATACAGCATGGGTCAAGCATAAAACAGAAGAAGAGTGGGCGCTTTTAGTGAGATAGACCACGCATGTCCCAGAAAGCATACCAGGGGACAGTGGAGACAGACAAGGGATATATAGGGGGTAAGGTGAAAAAAGGAAGTAATACAAAACTTGACACAGAAAGCCTGGGCTGCAGTGACTTAATGTTGCGGCCATAAACAAGTGACCAAATGGCTCACTTAGACAGACTGAAGGATGGCATCCTCTCAAGTCCCAGAGGGTCAAAACTTAAGAGCAAAGTCCCCCTCATCCCCCTTACCCCCCTGAAATGTTCACTGAGGTGGAACCAGGGCTGGAACCAGAAAACTGGATAAGATAGCTACAGAATGGCCAGCGCTGGGTGAGCAGGCATCGAGGGAAGGGGCATACACATGGCTTGGTCCCTGCTCCCTGCCCATTTCCCCTGAATACCAGAGCTGCAGCCTTGTACTTAGGAGCCTGTACGCTACAACCCGAATGGGTCTCCCCACCTGCCCATGACACGGAATGAAGGATAGATGGGATCTTGGCAAAACAAAGAGTCTCACAGCACTGTGAAAAGAGGTGAGAGGAAAGAGGAGAGGGAGGAAAGAGGAGAGAGGCCCAGCCAGTGTCAGACATGGAAGAAGTCTGCCTCCGCTCTAATGCTTTTCCAGCGTCTGGGTACCTCCAGCAGCCCTGTCTCTGAGAGTTGAAAAGTAATAGTCAATAGAACCATGTGAAGAACCCCAGATTGCCTTGTCATTTGTGTCCCACCCAAAATTCCCTCAGAAAATGGCTGGGAAGAGTCCAATGAGGCAGGCCATAGCTCTTGGGAATAGACACTGCCACCAGCTGAGAGGCAGCTTCTGGCTCTTCACCTCCTCTGCCTCACTAACGGTGAAATGGAGACAGCAATGGCGTAACTGAACATGTGACTCCCGAAACCGAGGGGCGGTGACAGTCCTGCTAAGCTCCATCCCAGCCTTAAGGTCGCCACACCACTCCAGCTATATCCTGGAGACTTGCTCACTACCTTCACGGCACCTCCTGCAGGCAGGTGGCCCACGTTATCGAGGGACCCCACTTTGGCCTGGGCCTTCTCCTTGAAGTTCAACTTCTGACTTTCAATCTTGACATCTCCTCCACCTGGAACAACAAAAGAACTGGTCACTGAGGGTGCCAGATTATACCTGTAAGCAAAGCCAGGAGCCTAGACAGGAACCTGAGCCTGACCATGGATGGCTCTGTGTCCCTTCTAGAAACAAGAAAATGTCCATCTCCAGGGCGGTTGTAAGGACAAAAGAGGCAGTGGCACTCCTCCCAGGAAAGGAAAACTGTCCTCAAGCCACTGCAGGCCCAGCCTGATGCTAGCTCCGGACTCTCCAGGTCTCACTGATTCTCATAAGGGCCACATCAGCCAGGGCCATGACTCTTCATTTGTTCAGGTTGATGCTTGGTGAATGACAGGGACAGGATATAGATATTGACTGCCTAGGCCACAGAATGAAAAGGAGGAATAGTGAAATAGAGCAAGTAGACTCAGAAGTATGAGTTGAGAAAAAGCTCTCTGGGGTGAAAGTGAAGGAACTGCACACAAGAACAAGAACGAGAGGACCCTGATAGACTCGGGCTCAGGAAGAAGAGTAGACCGGGCTGGAAACTCATCTGTCTGTCCCTTCCCATCTGTCCTCAGCCCACAATGACCTGTAGTGGAAGTGTCGGTGTCTTTAAAAACTCAGTTATGTTATAAAAACATGTTTTTGTTTTCACCCAGGTATGGGATGTGGGACTGTAAACTATGATTGTCTCAGGCCCTGAGGAGAGTGTGGTCTTTGCCAGCTGGAGACAGTTTACTTCTGACGACTCTGAAGAGTATAAGTGTCAGAGCCAACGGACGGGGGTGCTCTCCCTGCTGCTGCATTTGCTGTTTGCTGGACTGCTGAATACCCTGACTAGGAAAATTGGACTTGCCCCAAGGAACTAAGTCTACATCCCCTTTCCCCTCTAACCTTCTTTCTTTCCTATCTAGTGTTGGGGGTTTGGAAGGGAAGTAGAGGCATAAGAACCCAAATGAAGTAGATAAAACCACACCATCAGATAGCTGACAAACTCAAAGGTTTCTTCCCCACTATAGAGCTAGCTCGGGCAAAAGCAATCCTTTCACTCAGCGCCATTAGGCAAAAGCCATTTCACATACATGGATTTTCCAGATAAAAGGGCAGTAGAATAAATAATTAGTTAAGGATAGCAGCGTTTGGTCCCTCACGAAAGAGTACACAATCCCAATAATTGGAAGGGTGAGTAGGAGGACCGCTACAAGGTCAAAACCATCCTAGGCTACAGTGAATTCCATGTTAGCTGAGCTACACTGTGAGACACTGCCAAAAATAAAACAAATTAAAAACACACACACACACACACACACACACACCAAAAGCAAGAAAGCAAAATAAACAACCTTGACTGGAATCCGCTGAGAAGAAGGAAATTTTTTGTGCCAGCTGTGTGCCAGCTTCTGGAGCAAGACCTCACAACCCCTTATCTGTGGACCAGGAACCAGTGCCTGAACCATAGCAAGACCCCAGGCTGCCCTCAGAAGCCTCTGTAGGACACTGTCAACAATGCTGCTGCCAGACGGAAATGCCATGGGCACTGCTACCAGGTCCTCAGGGGCAGCCGGCATTCCAAATGCCCTCCCCTCTCCTGTCAAGACTGGCATTCAGGACCTCTGCTTGGGGCTTCATCTGTTACTGGATCTGAGGAGTCTGAACCACCACTCCGTCAGCACCAGCTCCCAGAATGCTAAAGCGGGAGGCTAGCCCAGGCCAACAGTGCCAGGCACATCACATGCAGTATTGCCAGGGACAGGATGTAAATATCACCAAGGGACAGCTGTGACAATGGCCTTAACAAACTGTTCCTCCTTCAATAGAAAGTAGCACCCAGCTGCTATCTCTGGCAGGAACGGAAAGCTGTGCTGTTTCTACCAGGCACCCCGGGTATGAGGTCAATTCAGAAGTAATTCTTTCTTTTTCATGTGTGTGTGGAGTACATGAATGCATGTATGTGCACGTGTGGGGGCTCACATGTTTATGGATGCCTAAGGTTAAATGTTAGACTTCCTTGCAGTCTCTCAACTGAAGCCAGAACTCGCCTTGGCTTGTGGAGTTAGGCAGCTTGCTCTGGGCACCCTGTCTCTACTTCCAAGCACTGGAAGCACATGTTGGCTGCCAGGCCCAGTGACATTTATGAGGGTTCCAGGGATCCATGTAGCGCTCACTGTAATGCTGTGCTACCTCTCCAGAACAGGCTCCTCGTTTTGAAGTCATGCAAACTTCCCAGCGGGAAGGCCACCCAGATGACCCTTGAAGGTCTACCTGCCGAGGGAGTCTTAGGCACAGGCAGTCACTCACCAGGCTTGTGCTTGATGTTAGCTTTGGACCCACACTTGGAGGAGACCTTGGACATGTCCACTTTCTTGTTCTGAATCTGAACCTAAGCAGAAGAACGGAAAGCAAATATACTCAGAGAAAAGGCACGAGTCATGGATGAGCCCACCTCACCTTCACCAGCTCCCTTAGTTATGCCCTTTCTCAGTCTGTTCAAGGTCAAGGCCACCTCTTAAAGTACTTAGGAGCCCATGATCTACTATGGCCTTCTCTTTACCTTTGACCCCACCTCTGGAACTGCTCTACTGTGCAGGGTACAACACCAAAATCAAGGCTCTCCTAAAATGCCCATCTGGTTCCATCTCAAAACCTTACCTATCAAACTCCTTGCCCAGAAAACCCTAGACTAAAACTTACTGAATTTCCTTCCAGAGCATGTCCCCAGGCCAACTGTAAGGCTATAGACTCCTATGGGCTTCATGACACAACCCGTCTCCCAGCAAAACAGAATGCACAAAAGGACCACAAAAAATGATCTATGCTGCAAACATCAACACCACAGCTACTATTCAGCATTTAGGCTATTTTCTATCACTGCAAAAGAATGATCTTTTAAATGCAGAATAAAGTTATCAATTTAAATCTTGGAACACCTTGTGTTAAATGTGGCTCTATTGGAAGCGTGTGAGTATTTTGCCCACGTGTAAATATGCAACACTTGCATATATGGTGCCCACAGAGGCTGGAGGAGTCAGATACATTCGGGTGTGAGTGGTCACGTGGGTACTGAGAACTGAATAACCACTGAGCCACTCCAGCCCCACTCGGTACATTTTTTACAAACAAACAAGAACCGCAATAAAACAGCAGTATCCTCAGCTAGCAACATATACTCTGCTTTGTTTTGAGACAAGGTCATCTTTGCTGATGTGGGCCTTAGCCTCCAGATGCTGAAATTAGATGTGCTTTTTAGCCACGGAAGATATACACTTCACCATGAACTCTAGCTACCTCCTTTCAAGCAGCCAAGAGGAGTGCTGCAGGCACAGTCCTGTGTATCCCTAAGCCTGTGCTTGGGAGTCTGCTCTGACCGTGCACAATTGGCTTTCTTCAGGCTTCCCATAGGCTTTCATTTACAGATACTATGTCTGTTTAAAAGATAATCAACAGACTGAACTGCTGACAAGATCATGTATACCATGCAGGCTATCATGGCATATGCCTTTAATCCCAGCACTCAATGAAGCAGAGGCAGCTCTAGCTCCACGAATTCCAAGCCATCCAAGACTTAATGTTTTGTCTTTTTTGTTGTTTGAAAGCCACACATAACTGGTCTTGAACATGTGGTCTAAGACAACTATCCTGTTTCACGGTACACTTAGTCCTGGGAATCTCGGAAAGTGCACGTCCCCAGCCAAAACCCTGGCTGTTCCATGAATCAGTCCACTAGTATATACTGAAGCAGAGGTGACTCTCCATCCCTGAGATCTCCTTGGAAAACTAGAGGCCACTCTGTCAGTCTGGGACTGGGCTCCTTCCAAAATGTGAAGTTACCCCCTTTCTTTATCTCCTAGCTAATCTTCAAAGACAGAAAAGCTAATGAGGGAAAGTTCTGATTAAGACATTGTATTCCAGCCCAGGCTGGAATCCTGTAGTCCCCTGACGGCGCAGACACCACTGCTACCTGATGGAGAGGATGCTGCGCAAGCAAAATGCAAACCTAACCAATTTAGAGAAAACTATAGACAAAAAAAAAAACCCTAAATGAAACAGGCAAAATTAACTCCTGTTTATGGACTAGAAAGATAGCTCCATGGATAAAAGTGCTTGCCATACAATGTGAGGACCTAGTTCAAATCTTCAGATGCCACATAAAAACCTAGATTCATACACAACACCTGTAATATCACAGCTCACACAGTGAGAAAGGAGTAAGAGACAAGAGTCTCCAGGAGCTCCCCAATCTGTCCGGGATATGAAGCAGATAACAATAAACACAGTGCAGGAGCTGGATCAAGGCTGTTTCTGAACTCTGTACATGCACTACGGCAGGAGTCAGCAGACATGCAGTTTATTCAGCCCCCCACCCCATGAAGGCCAACAAAAAACAGTAACTTAAAGCAAAGGAGAGTTACTTGTAGAGTACAAAAGGACCTTAAGATTAAAGGAAACAGACCCTTTACAGTCAATACTAACAGATGTACCCATCTATTAAATTTCAAGGTATTCTTAGTCTACCGGCTTAACAGGGCTCCCTGCTTGGCAGCTGGAAGCATCTGTAGTCAGTTTCTTCACTTTCTTTTATGGTCTAAGACCTGTGCTTCCTTCACTGGGTGCTCCTCTCCACAGTGAAGCCTGACAGCCGGCAAAAACACACATTTATCTTTTCTGCTTGGTTGATTTTATTAATTTATTATTTGAGACAGGGTCTTTCTATATAGTCCTGGCTGTCCTGGCACTCAGTATGTAGACCAGGCTGGACTCAAACTCAAGTGCTGGGATTAAAGGAGTGTGCCATCACATTAAACTCCTATCTATCTCTTGAAGGAACACCTCAATATACAAGCAATCACAGGCCACTCTACTCTGCTCTACCTCTGCATTGCACAGGGTATAGCTGATCTGTGCCATCCTACATGCACCAATACACGCTGTGAGCAGCCCACAGATCTGAGCACTTATTCTCCACCTTACAAGGATGAAACAGAGTCCAAACTTCCATAAAATCTCATGTTGGGGTGGGTGTCGTGGCACACACCTTTAGTCCCAGCACTCAGGAAGGCAGAGGCAGGCAGAGCTCTGAGTTCCAGGTCAGTCTGGTCTATAGAGTAAGTTCCAGAACAGTCAAGACTACATAGAGAAATCTTGTCTCAAAACAAAACAGAAGTAGAACCATAGTGAGTTTTAACCAGGAAGAACATGCTTCCTGGTTACACTATGAGGTTTAACTGTAGGAAGGAATATTCTTGGCTGGATTCCTGAAAATGAAACTGCAGAGGGTGTTTGCAGACCCGGGACAGAATGGTCTGAGCATAGAGAACAGTGGTACAGAGTGTTCAGGATGGCAAAGAGGAGCAAAGTATATTGAAAAAAAAAAACAAAAAAACAAAACAAAACAAAAAAAAACCCCAAACAAACAAACAACATGGGCAGTGTCTTTTGAAAGGGAGTCGAGAGCAGGGGCCATATGTAGGTGGCCCAGTATGTGCCCAAGGTAGTGCTCTGCAGACTCCAATCTGCCTACGCCCTGTCAGTGGGAAACAGCCTCTAAATGACGACTTCTGGTGCCATTTTCCCCAAACCAGAATCTCCCTGTAAGCTGTAATCAATCACCGGCACCCCAACACACACAAAGAGCTAACACAGAACAGCAATGTGATAACAAGGATGTTTAGGTGGAACAGACAAAAGGGACTAAAAGGAGAAGACTGAAGGAAGGAAAGAAGAAAGAAAAGAGAACACAAAGGGAGAATACAGATAGAAGCAGGAATGGTAGGATGAACTCTGGTTAACAGTAATTTTACAATGACAAAGGATTCAAGCACAGGCCTTGGGAGGATACGGGCACCTGTCTCAGGGCAGGGGTTTGCCCAGGCGCACAGTCAAGTCTGTGCGTCCCCAGCAAATGGCGCTAGAGAATAATACAAAGCCTCTGACACGGCAGTGAGGTGAGGCCACCGAAGTATCACTAGCTGTGTCTTAGGGAATCATCAGGACACCCATAAAAATATATATGGGCCTCCAGCTTGTTTACTTGTCAGGACCGCTTCTTGGCAAGGGCCCAACCCAGGCCACCGTGATCCTGTCACATGAGGGAAGGTTCTCGGTGTCTTCTTCCCATCTTTCCCCTTCCCCCTCCCCCACCCAAGTTTCCCACAGGGACTACGCCTCATTAGCCAACTGGCCAGAGCTTATACTTACATTGCCACCTCCAGGGACATGCTTAATATTGTCCTTGGAACCACACTTGGATTGAATATGGCTGTAGCTCACTTTTTTGGAGACTATCTGGACCTGGAATGTTAGAAAACAAAAAGGGGGAAAAAACCAACACAGAGGGAGAGGGCTAGTTAGAACTGACACAGAGCAGGCAGAGAGTCCAAATGTGAGTGTCCTTAAACTTCTGTTCATTAGAATAGGGGTTGAAAAACAGGAAAGGAATGTGAAAGCAAGAAAGGGAGTGAGCAAACAACACGAGACAAAAGCATGCTGCACAGTGCTATGAGGATATCCTCACTGCTCCTGGGGTCTCTAAAGACTCACACAGCAACAGGACCCTGAAGCCCACAGAAATATGGCCCCACCTTCTTGTTGAGTGAGACCTTTCTCTGAAAGCTGGACACAAGGGCTCTTGTATTTTTCAGTAAGGATAGATACTGATGCTCTAAGCCAGTTCCCATCTGGGGCCTGGAACTGTTGCAACCAGACTTACTCCCGGAAACAAAGGCTGCTCTAAGAATTGTTAGGCAGCTGGCTAACAGCACAGATCTGTTAACAGGAAGGAAGACACATTGTTCATTGAAGAAGGCAAATGGTCACAGAATCCTGAACCGGACACCAGGGAGAGCACAGGCCATAGCCTTAGCAGCTCAGACATCTCAGCCATCTGTTTTGGAAACACTGACAGATGAGGACTGACTTCATTTTTGTTTGTTTGTTTGTTTGTTTGTTTGTTTGTCTGAAGTAGGTAAGGCCAGCCTGGAACTTGCTATGTACCCCAAGCATACTCCTGGTCCTCCTGCCTCACCCATAGCACTGCTAGGTTTATAGCCAGCATATCTGGTTTTATAATCCTTCGAATCCTCTAGAAGTATAATTCTGTGTTGATGAGATGCACGGACAAAAAGAGCCACCGAAATGGTGCTACAGTGATGTGCAATTAAGGAAGGCACAGCCAGGCTGCGCTGCAACCCCTTAGCCCTGGAGCTGAGTAACACACAGAGTTCCTCAGCTCTCAAGAAGAAAGGCCCTTCCTTCCTTCCTTCCTTCCTTCCTTCCTTCCTTCCTTCCTTCCT